CAAATGCCGGCATAGAGGAGAGAGGTGGGCATGAAGTCTGAAGTCCCACCGTTACCTGAACTACTACAGCATACAGCTGCTAGGGTAAGGAGGGTCAGTTTGCTTGAAGGATGTATGTAGGTCCTAATAAGTCAACCATATTTCAGTGGATGGCCACACACCTAAGAGAATATGACAGCGCAAGTGGATTTCATGGCTTCTTGTCTGTTTGTCTTAGGAGGATGTAATGTTGGGTGGGTAGGGATGAGAGTGGATCCGGCAGGATTGGAGGAGGAGGTATATACGACCAATTTACATTACAGGAAATTCTCAAAGAATAAAAATATTTTTCAGTGGTGAGCTGAAGAGATGGCTCAACAGTTAGAAGCATGTTTTGAGAATATTTTACTGTCCCCAACAGCCAAAACCAAGTGTCTCAGCATGCAGGAAGCAGTCCCTGCCCTGAAGACTTGCTAGTGCCCAGAGTGAGAGGCACCACAGATGCCAACAGACCTAGGCAGAAAAGAACCACCATGGGACACCACCATGTGAAGTTCAACAGAATAGGAGGCCGTGTCTTTCTGTTAGCGAGCTAGTGGGAAAGCAGAGTGTAAGACCTGGAAATTTTTAGAGTTTTTTTTCTGTGCAGAGACCTAAAAGGGTTACTTGTCAAGGCTCTGGCTCCATCAATTATAATAGAAGAAAACCTGTTTAGAGAAAACTAGTTTACTGGGGGAAAAGATTTTGAGACATTTGAAATGCCCTGACCTATGATGTCATGTCCTCCAAGGAGTCTGAGCCAGCAACTCCTCATTGGCAATGAAGTCACCATCACCTCACGAGCGTACAGGTAGGTAATAGCTTTGGATTGATTGACTTCAGTGAATAATGCCCACAAGTCAGACGCATCAACAGAAAACCAGGAAATCTAATTCTGCTGCATCGTGTTCCACCTGCCAGAGGCCATGGCTGCATTTACACACCGCCCGGGTCAGTCACAGCTGCTGTGGGTTTGCCTGCCAATCTGCCTTCCAATGGCTGCAGGTAAGGCATTTCTGTGTAACACTGAAGTGGGGTCCTGTGTGGTCGGTCACATGCGGCTCTACTCTTCAGGACCTGGATCAGAGCTCGTTCTGGAAGGTACAGTCAACACCCTAAACTGGAAACGCCTTAAAGCTTGGCGCTGAGTTTTTAATGGCCCCACAGAAACTCTGGTTTAAAAGATACTTATTCAGCATGTAGTGAGCCTCCTACACTTGGTGCTGCAAAGCTGGTGTGAAGAAATGGAGGGAGAACAACAGATAAGAGATGACAATGGAAACTAAATGTACAAATGCCAAGGAAATCTATGCGGAGGAAAGAGACTGATGCTGTGGAATGCCTGCAGTGTGTGGGTCTCAGCTTCCTCCAAAAGGAAGGACAGAAACCAGACGCAACAGTCAAAGAGATATATGGTGATGTACAGAAGGAAACAGGGTCTTTAAAAGGAACTTTATTTATGAATAACTATGCCAAAAGCACAAAAAAAGATCCATGGAGTATAAGATCCAGTTCCTGTTAGCGATTAGACACACACAAACCACATAAATGTGAAATAGAACAAAAGGGCAGACACCAGCTGACACTCAAGAGGCACCACTGTGCCAGTGCCAACTGAACATGATCAAGAGAAAAAGGGTCAAGGCTCTGATGTCCTAGATGCGAATTTGAAGCTGGACTCTGAAGACAGTGCAGGCTGTCCTGAGCAAACAGGCAGAGAGGTACCTAAAGCAGGAAAGCCAAGTGTGCGGAAGGCACGCGGGCCACGGGGAGACCAACAACTGTGCCACTCTAGAAGAACTTAAAGAGTATTCTCATGAATGCATGGATGTCCCGAGCAGTGCTCACACAGGTACACAGAGGAACAGGACTAGACGCGGGGAGGGAGCAATGTCAAGGACTGTTTAGCAGGTGGGCAAGAGGACTAACCTCTGTCCACAGCACAGCAGGGTAAAGCCCAGCTGCATATCCCAGAACAGCCAGGGTAGACCGGTTGGAACCCTACCCCCACTGATAATATATGAAGTGATGAATATACCAATGAGTTGATCTGAAACATTTTATAGACATACTGAGATGCCATGCTATATACAATAAAGACAAGACCATTTGGAGTCAATTAAAAGACATTAATAAAACAGGGAGAACCCATTTCCCTTGATCTTCTTCCCCAGAGACACAGCCTATAAGCAACACAGGCTAGACGCGGGGAAAGAGGCCCAAGGGTCCAGGTCCCCGCTTCCACCCATCACCAGAGAATATACTAGAAACACCAGCTTTCCCGCACCTTTGCAGGCCCACTGAATCAACATCAGCTGGGGGTGGGGCCCAGGACGGTGGGGGCATTTTAAAAAACTTCTTTCTCAAACAGAGTCTGCTAAGTGCAAGTTCTACTACCACTGAGCCACACCCCAGCCTGGGAATATCGGTTGATGTGGGAGTGATTTCTTATTAATAAAGAAACTGCCTAAGCTCCTTGATAGGCCAACCCTTAGGTGAGTGGAGTAAACAGAACAGAATGCTGGGAAAAAGAAGCTGAGTGGAGGAGTCGCCATGGTTCTCCCACTCCAGACAGACGCAGGTTAAGATCCTCCCTGGTAAGCCACCTCGTGGGCTACACAGAATATTAGAAATGGGTTAGATTAATATGTAAGAGCTAACCAATAAGAGGCTGGAACTAATGGGCCAGGCAGTGTTTGAAAGAATACAGTTTCCGTGTAATTATTTCTGGGCATAAGCTAGCCATGCGGGCGGCCGGGTGCCGGGGACGCAGCCCTGCCGCTCCTATCACAACAATCGGTGTTTCTGAGGTGTGTTCATTTGAGAATTCATCATCTGTATATTAAAGACAATCTGAGCTGACAGAAACGCATACACACAGTGTGTGTGTTTGCACATGCGCATGTGTACATGTGAAAGCGAAGAGTTGGCTGTTGTTCCTCCTTGTTTTCTCAGACTCTCTCACTGACCTGGAACCAACAAACGGATGAAGCAAGGCTGACCGGCCAGTGTGCCCAGGTATCCTCCTCCTGTCTGTGCAAGTAGAACCTGGCTTTTTTATGTGGATTCTAGGGACTGAACAAGGGTCCTCATGCTTCTACAGCAAATACTTTACCCCCAACTGAGCCATCTGCCCAGATCAAACAAATCCTTTCAGAAGTACACTGCAAGTTCTCCCACACTTAAGAGAAACATATTCGTGTACAACATAGGAAGAAGATAAAAAAAAAATCAAGACTTTGAGTAGATGCAAGCTTCCATTACAACAAAAATCTTCCCCTGCTTGCTCTACAGCTTCCCACCTCTCCCACTTTGGCGCTCAAGGCTGGAGTGCTTTTCGTGACATTTTCCAGTGAGTACAGAAGGAAACTGGGGAATGCATTGATTTATGACCAGACACATCCAGTTCTTTTTGTCTTGGGCCCAAATGTGTCATGAACTGAGCAACAGCTATCCCAAGGCTCCTAACTACATGGAAGAATGAGGGCTAACTAAACTGTTCTCCACTGACTCTGATAAGCACTCCCGGAAGGAAACAAGGGAGGATGTGGATCTCACTGGATAGCATACAGACTAATTCTAACTCGAGTGCAGCCAGAATAGACAGCGGATGCCACACAACATCAAAAGGGACTTTCATGCTGATACATGCTTAAAGGTGACAAGTATATTTCAGTCTCCATGATTTAAGTCCATGACTTAAATATATAATCTCTGCACAGAAAATTAAAATAACCTTGGATGGGGTACGTATGCATGCTTGTGCACACACACGCACACACGCGCGCACACACACACATACATACCTCTAGAACATGAATCTCTAACTTGGGAGTTTCACTCTAATTTCAGGTCATTTTTTTTTTTTTAATTTATTTTCGAGACAGGGTTTCTCCGTAGCTTTTGGTTCCTGTCATGGAACTAGCTATGTAGACCAGGCTGGCCTCGAACTCACAGAGATCCGCCTGCCTCTGCTCCCGAGTGCTGGGATTAAAGGCGTGCACCACCACCACCCGGCTCAGGTCAGTTTTCAACACCTTCAAGTTACCCCAAAATTTCAGCATGCCAAATTCTTCCAAGTCTTTCTTAATACTTAATAAGATCATAATGATTTCATTTGGATCCAGCTGAGGCTATAAAAAGCCAAGTACTGTGAAGAACACTTTACAATCCACTTAAAGCCCCAAGAATGCCCAGCTAGGGTCAGAGACATCATTATCTATACTCTGTTTTAAGCAATCTTAACTTAAAATTTTTTAATGCTCTCTGGGTGAATTATAAATATACTTTGGATATAATTGATTGAGTAATCAAGGTCTTACAATTATTCATAGATCCACTGTGTCCTCTCTGAGCACACAGACGCCCTCTGCAGGCTCAGACCCACTCTGTTCTGCAGTGGTTCCTCGGGTTCCATCCACACCGTTCAAGAAAACCCCATGCATCCAAACAAGCTCCAGGCTTTTTGTTCATACATGTATCATTTGCTGCAGTAGACCTGAGCTGATCTACACGAGCTTAGCAACACAGCAGAGGAGATAAAATCAGACGTCAGTAACTACGTCTCTACCAGACAGGCTGCTATGCAGTAAAACATAACTTAGCTTAGTAACAACCAGAGACTTGCCTGTCCTACCCGAAACGCCACTCAAGGACAGTTTCCAGAGACAGCCAGTACAGTGCACATGTCCTAGCCATGCTGTCTGCACTAGAGAGGCTATGCTGAGAGGAGGAACACTGAACTTCCCTTCCGTGACCCCAGACTACCACAAACTGCACTCAGATTAGACTGGAAGCCACACCCTTCCCCGCCAGCCTGGAAACGGAAAGAAATCATTCAACAAAGATTTTGCTTTGCCTTCTCCCTTGGAGAACCCCCACTGCTTAGCGAGCGCCCTCAGATCTAATGGCTTGAATGCTTGCTGGCCAACGCAGTGACGGCTTCTCTTTCTTTAGCAGCACACAGAAGCACAGCGACTTACGTAGCGGCTGTCCAGTCTCCAGTGGCCCCTCCATCTGCTGGGAGGTGGTTCCTCTCTGGGCCAGAGAGCCCATGGGCAGCTGAAGCTGTGGGAGACGGAGTGGACAGAGAATCCTGACTGCTGGGGGTGTCCTCCTTGAGAGGGCTGGGACTGTCACCTAGAGGGAAAAGAACAGAGAAGAAAAAAATGACTTCACTAATAATTACATGGCATTAGTTACCAGTCAGTCATAGTATTTTCAAAATTACATTTATAATTCGGCCAGAGAGTGTGTGGATAGCCAGCCTTTGAAGGTTTGTACCTGTGGACTTATTTTCTTTCTTCCCTCCCTCCCTCCCTCCCTCCCTCCCTCCCTCCCTCCCTCCCTCCCTCCCTCCCTATAATGACAGAACTGTTACAGTCTGGATAAAGAATGCCCCTGAAGACTGATCAGCGAACAGCCTGGCTCCCCGTTAATGGCACTGCTAGATAGTGGTGGGAAACTTAAGAAACACAACTTTGTAAAATGTTTACTTGGCCACAGAGGGTATGTCCTTAAGGGGACTTTGACAGCCCAACCCCTTCGTGGCAGCCGAGAGGTAACAGCTGTTTCTATCACATGCACCCTAATGTCTCCCACATGCCTAAAAACATGGGTTCAATTAGTCCCTAAAACTGTGGACCAAAGTAAACTTCCTCTCTGTGTAAGCTGGCATATCACAGGTATCTATTATGGTAACAGGAAGCTGACTAACACATGGATTATATCCCATGAAGAGTGAAGAAAAGAAAACAACCAGAAGACTGCATGGGAAACAAGCACCTTGTGTGCAGCCATGATAAACCTGCAAAGAACCCAGACAAAGCAATGACAGCATCAGGAGATCCCGGGGCAGCACAACCCGTATGCTCTAGTCACCTGCTCATCCTTTCACACTGAGTATGTGGAAAAAGGAATCCACATTCTGAGCTTCTACCATGGACCAGATTAATATTCCCAGATGGAGGAGCTTCTGTTTCCCCATGAACACTGAAGGACAGCAGTGTTGGTTCCCCGCAGTACTTACAAGGGATGACTGGAAGCCGCAAGTAAGAAGGAGGTCCTACATGAGGTTGTGATTTACACATTTTAGGAAACATGTTTACTATTATGTCATCAGCTTGTATAGAAATGAAAAAATAGAGCCGATCTGACACAGACGGCTTTTTCTCACCTGGCCTTCACGTTTTCATGATGGCCCAGGGTCTATAAAACACACCGGAATGCCCCAAAACAGAACTGTTCTTTCTGCCCAAAGAACTTCTTTTTTTTTTAATTTATTTATTAAAGATTTCTGTCTCTTCCCCACCGCCACCTCCCCTTTCCCTCCCAAAAATATGGAACGCTTTACGAATTTGCGTGTCATCCTTGCGCAGGGGCCATGCTAATCTTCTCTGTATCGTTCCAATTTTAGTATATGTGCTGCCGAAGCGAGCACCCCAAAGAACTTCTTATACCTTAACTTCCCCAGGTGACCTGCAGAGGAAGCAGTTCTACAGACATGGCACTAATGTGGCCTTGATTTTCCAGGTGACGGGTCAGAACAACTGCCCAACGCTGCCCCAGCAGCAAACGGAGTCTCAGAACCTCAGCCAACAAGAGCTGCAAGTGAGAGCTCTGTATTCTGGGTCCTGGCGCAGAGCACACACAAATGCCAGGGTCAGATGGAGCTCACTCTGAGAAAGCTGCTTCAGGAAACTTCCCGTTCCTCTCAGAACGAAGCAGAAGACAAATGCAAGGCCCTGACTTGACTGGACCCTAGGCTAGTCTAGCATCCTAGGCATGCTAGTGTTGAAAACTGAGTGTAGAAAATAAATCTTTCTGACCCCTGACCCAACTCAGAACTAAGGGTAAGTGTCTTAGAAATGAGGCCCAGAAAAGCTTCATTGGGACAGTGGGCACTGGAAACGGTGGAAGGAGGAGCAATGCCTGGGGAGACAGAGGAATGGAGAAGCGCCCTGCATAGAAAGTGAAGCAAGCCTGGACTGAGTGACCAGCTTAGAGTAATGCTCTCTGGACCGTGCCTCCCTGTAAAGTTGTCCTCGTCTCAGCCACATTCTAGAAAGATTGCTTCACTTGTCTTTCAGCTAAGTCACTTTGTCAAGAGCCCTTCAGCACAAACACGTTTGCCATTGGAGAAATTCAGCCCTAACAGTAGCGCCAACTTAAAGGCACGTGAACCAAATCCACTGTTAAAACACTGCTTCGATTCCTTTTAGAATGGAGTTCCCTTTGAAAACACAACCGTCTCTTCCTTTGCTTGGAAAGCTCGACTCCAGTTCTTTTCCACACAGGTACAGGCTGTGTCCCTCAGTCACTACGAGCTACCACCCCACAAGACTGAGAGCAGCTCAGCTGGGTGTGGTACACACACCTGTGAGCTCGGAACTCGGGGAGCCTGAAGGCTGCAGAGTTTCATGTAGATATCCAACCTGGGCTACGTAGTCAGTTTAAGCTTAGACCACAAACAGGACCAGAAAGAGGGGCTGAAAGATAATTTCTATGGCTTCAATGTGTAATTACTCCCCCCCCCACACACACAGATAGGTTTGTACGTATGAAACTGTCATGATAGGTTATGGAGCTTTTAAAAGAGGGCGCCTCGCCAGAGAAAATGGCCCACTGGTGACCACTCTTGAGTTTTATGGTCTGGTCCTACTTCCTGCCCCTGATGCTTCCTGAGTGGGAGCGGGGGGTGCCAAGAACCTAACCAGGTGCTCCCACCACCTGGTGCTTCATATCACCTAGATGGACTGTGTATCCCTTCAACTATAAGTCCAAAGAACTCATCTCACCCCTTAGGTGGCTTCTTACCGGGGATGTGGCTGCAGCAACTGTATAAACACTGTCAGGTAAGCAATTCAAGCTCCAATACGAGCCCACTTTGGCAGCTCCTTGTGAGAGGGAAATACATACACAGTTGTTTCCTGGCTCCCCGAGACTGAATTCTAGACTGGCATTCTTCTAGGCTCACCAACTGACTCGGGGCAGAGCCTAACATAGCAAAGGCAGCTGTGGAGCGGCTGGGACCAGCTTCCCTCCCAACGCATTCCTACCAGGAAGGGCTGTAGATAAGAGGCAAGTTTGGGGAAGCCTGGGAGCCAGGGTCTAATGTTACTTTAAAAACCAGATACAGCAGGCCATTTACAGTGCCTCTAATCCTTTCCCCAGACAGACAGATACAGTCCTCGACTAGGAGCCCTATGGGCAGTCCACCAGCGGTGGCAGTCTGAGCCCTCCAGCGAGGGCAACATGGTGGGGGAAACTATGCCTGCAGAATGATCAAAGGAAGGCACCTTTGGCTACTTTCTCAACAAACAAAATTCCTATTCCCATCTCCATTCGGGAATGAGTGTGTCTGCTGGACAAAAGTCATCGTTATAAGAAAGACCAACAATCACATCCATCATGTGCATCAACAGTCAGGCTTACAGCCATTCCCCAAACTTCTCCTAACAGCGTGGTCATCAATATATTTGCATGTGGAAGACAGAGGTCAATTCCAGGGGTTAGGCTCAGACACCTTTTTTCCCTTTGATATGTGGTCTCTCACTGGCCTGAAATGCAACAAGTAATCTATGCTGGCTGGTCAGCAAGCTACAGGAATGCCCCTGTCTCCACCCTCCCTGTTCTGGAATCACGATTTGTTTGCAATGTGTACTCTCGGATGGAAGTCAGACCATCAAGTTTGCGAGTAGTTTAGTTATTTCCTAGACCTCTGTACTCAATGCTGTCTAGAGCAAGTGTTTGAAATCTTGAGATTAATCTACAATTAAGAATTAGGATAAGATGCTTTTTTTGCTCATTTTGCAGTACTATGAGCAGAACCTGGAACCCAGAGCATGCCGCACACACACTCTACCAAAGCGCCACAGCCACGGCCTCCCTGTGGTCATTTTCATCTCTCACTTCTTCTAGCAACCTCTACCCTCAGGTGCGAGTCACTATAGGCAGAGACACCCGGGCGGAATAATAACACAGAAACTTGGTGTGGGAGAATTGTCTGTAATCTGTCAATCATGTTTTAAATAAACGCTGATTGGCCAGGCAGAAAGTATAGGTGGAAAAACCAGACAGGAAGTAGAAATGATACAAGGAGACCAGGAGAATTCTGGGAAGGAGGAAGCTGATTCCTCCCACTCCTGCCTAGACCACCAAAGCAGCAGGATGTGATCTGCCCCACTGAAAAAAGGTACTGAGCCACATGGCTAACATAGATCAGAAAAATGGGTTAATCAAGATGTGAGAGTTAGCCAGTAAGAGGCTAGAGCTAATGGGCCAATCAGCTTATAATTTATGGAGACCTATGTGTGATCTTCTTTGGGGCTAAACAGTTGTGGGGTACCGGGTGGGACAGAGACCCCAACAAAGGGCCCCGTTCATGTTACAGAAACTATATTAATTAATATAAATTATAATATAATATAATTATATTAATATTGTTTGGCCAATAGCTTAGGCACATTTCTAGCTAATGCTTCTATCTTAAATTAACCCATTTTTATTATTCTCTGTATCACCATGAGGCTATGGCCCACTGGTAAGGTTCTGGCTGGCAACTGGTGTCATTCTCCTTCAGCAGCTACATGGCAGTCTCTCTGACTCCGCCAACTTTCTCTTTATATCTCTGTTCGGAATTCCTACCCGGCTTTACTCTACTAAGTCGTTGGCAGAAACAGCTTCTTCAATAACCAATGGTAAAAAAAAAAAAAACATATTCATAGCATACAGAGGGGAATCCCGTAGCGAGTGACCCTTTAATGGGCATCTACAAGCAGTCCTGTGAATAAAAAGAACAAAAATGGTACTACAAGACTTTTGTTTTGGAGGATGCCTATATGTTTTTCTTTGGGTTCTCCTTCTTATTTAGCTCCTCTAAGAACCCGAATTATAGGCTCAATGTCCTTTATTTATGGCTAGAAACCAAATATGAGTGGGTACATCCCATGTTCCTCTTTTTGGGTCTGGCTTACCTCACTCAAGATCCAAGAACAGTGGCAATGGGTTTTTGATCCTACTGCACGTATTGGTTTTGTGGGAGCCTAGGCAGTTTGGATGCTCACCTTACTAGACCTGGATGGAGGTGGGTGGTCCTTGGACTTCCCACAGGGCAGGGAACCCTGATTGCTCTTTGGGCT